GTTCACTGCTATTTTTCTATGTTCACAAATTCATGACAAAACAAATTCAGGGTTTAAAGATACATATTACAAAAAACTGAAAGAGAACATTTCAAAGTTGCTCCAATTCAATGGTCCAAATTCACATGCAAAAATACGAGGTTAAAAATACAAGTTATTCATCCGGGATACCAAGGCTAAGCAATCGAATCTGTGGGTGCGTTCGAATTGGGTTTACAGCGCATTCAGAATGTATTCAGACCACTTTCAATTTTCAACCATTTGTAATGTTGTAGCTTCATGCTAAAATGAAATTATTAAATTAAATTATTATGTAAATTCATTTTTGTTCCTCATGAATCTACACTCAGTACCCCGTAATGACAGCACAAACATGGAATTATAGAATATTAGAATAAAAAGGAAAATCTGATATATCAAATGGACGTAAGTATTCAGACCTTTGCTGACATATTTAACTCAGGTGCCGTCCATTTCTCTTGATCATCTTTGAGAAGTAAATAATAGAAAAAAATCTTCAAATAAATTGTCATGCCCCGATCGTCCGCTCCTCCTGTGTGCCACGCCCCCTCGTTAATCCTTTGTGGATTCCCCGTGTTTACCAGCTGTTCCTGATTGTTTTTAGTTCATTGTATTTAGACTGCGTTTCTGTTTGTTTCCCCAGCCCGGTCATTAACGTTACGTGTGTCTTGGAGTGTGCTACCACAGCAATAAACCCCTTTTGTTTATATTCACAGCTTCCGTTGCCTGCTTCCCCGTGGATCGTGACAGAATGACCGGACTCCGAAAACACAGACCAGGTACTTCACCGGCGCACCAGCTGAGGGAGGATCTTCCCGGGGTGCCGAGGATGATCCCGGCGAATTATGCCTTTTGCAACCCCAGCCTGTACTGGCCGGATGCTGATTGGCAACCGAAGCTGGCTCACAAGGTGCCTGGTCTCACTACAACAGCGCGCAGAAGGAGAAGGAAATGGGGGAACAGACTGGAGGACGCACCAGACACGCTCGTCATCGGGGCCGTCTCTGTTTCCGCTGCCTGCCCTGCTGCGCGTTGGGAGAATCCCCTCCCGATTCTCCACCCGGCGGTGTTCGCGGGTGACATCACCGCCGCTTCGCCTGAGCGGACGCCCAAAGCCCGTCTGCCCGCCGCTTCGCTGCCCAAACCGTCAGCTGCTTCTCCCTTCACCGGGACGCGCCTGGCCCCTCGCTGCACCACCCAAGGTCCTGGTGCCTTCCGCTTCGTCGCCCCTTGTGGTTCCTGTGCCAGCAATACCCGAGACGCCACCGCCTGAGACCCCTGCTGCGCCTGAGACGCCGCCACCCGAGGCCCCTGTCCCGAGGAGGTCCCGGACTGCTGCACTGACGCTCCTCCCTCTATAGTGGAGTTGGAGGGGGAGCTTGAGTGGGACCCCTCGGGGATTGCCCTGATTACCCCTGTGACTTCCCCCGTGACTGCCCCTGTGACTTCCCCCGTGACCACTCCAGTGACTACCCCTGTGACTCCTCCACCATTACCCCAGTGTAACAGACCCCGGCCGGGTCCCCGACTCTCAGTCTCCCAGAAGGGGACACCTGCGCTGGGTCCCGCCCGCCCTGCCCCCCGGCTCGCCTGCGGTTCCCCTGGCTTTGGCTCGGCGGTCACCTCCAGTCCCGCCTCCGGCGCCTCGTCGGCCGGCTACGGTCCTGCCTCCGACGCCTCGTCGGTCGACTACGGGTCCCCTGTCTCTGACTCGTCGGTCGCCTACGCCATAGCTGGCGGCGGCTGTACCTTCACCTGCTGCTGCTCCCTCCTCCCCTTCACCTGTGTCCCCTTTGCCTTCCTCCTTGCCTCCTCCATTGCTCCCTTCGCCTTCCTCCTCCTCTCCTTCGGCCTTCCCTCTTGCTCCCTCCTCGCGGTCGCCTGTGGTCCCTGCGGCTTCCGCCCCTCGCCTGCCGGGGTTCCCTCTGGCTCCCCGTTTCCCCCCGCCCTTTGCCTCCTTACCCCCTGCCTTTGTGCCCCCTGTGTTTGCTCCATGTCCCTCTGTGCCTTTAGGTCCCTTTATGTCCCCTGTGTCTGCTCCTCGTCCTCCTGTTTCTCCTTCGTTCACTCCTGGCCCCTTCGTTCCTCCCATTGGTGTTCCCCCTTGTCTCCGGTGTTGCCCCTGTGCCTGTTTGCTTTTCCCGTGGTTTGTCGGTTGTTGTCTGAGTTGTTGACTCTGTGTCTGTTCTGCGTGTCTGTCTTGTTCCCTGTGCCCCATTGATGTGTTTTGCTCTTGTTTTCCAGGTTGTGTCCCTGGTCCCCATCGCTTCGCTCCCCTTAGGCGTGCCCGGAGTGCGCCCCTTTGGGGGGGGGGTCCTGTCACGCCCCGATCGTCCGCTCCTCCTGTGTGCCACGCCCCCTCGTTAAGCCTGTGTGGATTCCCCGTGTTTACCAGCTGTTCCTGATTGTTGTTATTAGTTCATTGTATTTAGTCCGCGTTTCCGTTTGCTTCCCCAGTCCGGTCATTAACGTTACGTGTGTCTTGGAGTGTGCAACCACAGCAATAAACCCCTTTTGTTTATATTCACGGCTTCCGTCGCCTGCTTCCCCGTGGATCATGATATAAATGGTAACGCTTTACATTTACATTATTACTGCACCTTCTTAATGCTTTTATATTGCATTCATAAAATGTTCAGTACACCTTCATAATTTATTCATTAAGTATTCAGAAAACATTCATTAACATCATGCATGTATACCTTTACATCCTAACATCCCTTAACAGCTGTAATATACATTAATAACTAATATTATATAATAATAAACATTATAATTGTATAATAATGTAATGTTTGTTATTAATGTATATTACAGCTGTTAAGGGATGTTAGGATGTAAAGGTATACATGCATGATGTTAATG